GGGGGCTCCATGAATCAATGCCTGGCACACAGTGAGGGCTGTACGGCTGTTTGTGACTTGGGCTCAATGACGATGCTATCTACCTGTGCAGTGGTCCCTGGAGCCAGCTGAGGAAAACATCAGAACAGCTGTGGTTAGGTCAGCAACTCTGGCTGGGATCTGAGGCCTCCTGCCCTCTATGTCTGAAGCGTGAGTGAGCTATGTGAGAACTGGCATCAGGAGCCATCGCCATGCTTGACCAGTGCTTTATATGTGGCCTCTGTGTGGGGTGGGGCGGTAGGGGGAGGATCAAGGGCCAGGAAAGATGCTGAACTGAAGAAAAGGAGGAACATAAGAGAGAGGGCTGGAGGGGGAGAGAGGGATGAAGAAGGGCAGAGGGCAGGAAGGGGAGAGGCGGCAGGTGGCATCTGAAGAGTGCTGACTGCCTCTCGCTGGACACCTCACACACTCTCTCTCGCTGAATCCCCTGACAGGCCTCAGAGTTGGGCTGCCGTTTTCCCTGTCCATTTTATGATGAGACCAAGGCTCTTGCCCCTTCCCCAGGCACAAATCATCCACCATTTTCTGTTCCACCACAGTGATCTCCCACCCTCATCCCCTGCACCTACTCCCATGTGCACCCTAAACACTGTCGTCCCACGGAGCCAGGGTCTGGAAGTGCTGTTAACCAGTTCTCCTTCTCCCCGTCACCTAACCCAGCTTTTCCTTTTCAGTCCAGACCTTTAAGAGAGTAGTTGTGCCCACTGTCCGTGCTTCCTCGACCCTTACGCCAGAAGCCAGAAGCGTGAATGTTGTCCTGGGCACTGCCCTCCCCACATCTGCTGCTCCTCAAATCCTACTGCCCCCGCCATCCTTACCCCTCCTGCCCTGCCCCTCTTCTCAGGCTCATGTCCCCTGCCCTGGTCTTCTCTTTCTGACCTTTGCCAGACATCAGCACCTGCCTCCCATCTGCTCTGCCTGCCTGCAGGTTCCTTTTCTGGCTCCCTCCTTCCTGCCGGCACCAGAGGGAGCTCAAGGCTTTTGGGAGATGAGGCTCCCCTGGAGGTGGCCTCCAGCCTGTGTGCTGCAGCCCCGCGGGCACTGTCCTACTGACTTCCGGGCACTGTCCTACTGACTTCTGGGCACTGTCTTACTGACTTCCGGTGCCAGTTTGGACACTGGCTGCTGCGCCCTTTCTGCCCTCCCTGCGTCCTGGTAGACAGCTCTTAAGAAGAGTCTTCAGACTGAACTCAGGTTTCTGTCTCCAGGAAGCTGTTCTTGAACCCAGGCTGCATCAGTGGTGGTGAACCTACGGCACAAGCATTATTGTGTTTTTCCTTAAGATGAAAGATATTAAGTTAAGACGTAGAGCTGCTTTTTTTCTAAACTAAAACCTCAGTATTCAGGTTTAATGGTAGTTTTGACACTTCATGATAACTAAGTGAGGTTTAGGTTGCAGTTTGGCACTCAGTCTGTACAAGGTTCACCATTACTGGGTGAAATGCCTTCCTCTGGCCTTTGATGAAGTACCTTGTGTAAGCACCCACTGTAGTTCTTTCCCCTTACACAGAAATGCTTGTTCCATGGTCACTGCTGGCTGCAGCTTCTCTCGGGCAGGGACTGGATTTACTTTTGGACACTTGGTGTCAGACGTGTGTTTGCCATGGTACACCAAGCCTTGTAAAACAGGACGTGTGGAGAGATGGCGCAGCCAGTGACCCCCTTACTGTTGACAGAGGAGAGGCAGATCCAGGGAAGGAAAGAAAGAGGGGGAAGAGATGAGGGCCCCAAGGTGCAGCAGCAGCCTACTCTCCTGTCTTTCCCAGGCCCTTTCACCCCTCTCCCTTCCCTCTTTCCATGCTGCTTCTTTGTGGTGGTAGGCAGAGGAGTACAGTGTGGGACATGGTCCAGGATAAATTACCAATTAAAAGTGAGGATGCTGTTGCCTAATACATCCCCGGGGAAGCCCCTGGCCTGGAGGCCCCACCTTGCAGTAGTCCCATTTGTGAGTGAGCAAGCTCCCTTCCCTTCAGTTCCCCCACCCACCAGTAGGAGCCATCCTAGTACTCCCCGCCCACAGTAGTCAGACAGCACTAGCTGAGCACCACACTTCCAAAATAGATGGATTCCACCAGGCAGGGCTCCCACCCTGTTTCCAAGGACCTTTCTCTCACATCCTGTGCCATGTCTGATATTTTTCTCCCTAGATGAGTCGCACTTATTAAATAACAATAATTACAAAGGAGAAAAAGTCCTCCAGAGAAAGGCATTGACTTTTCGATGTGGATAATCTGACTTGGGGAAGTTTTGATGTGGTCTAAAAAGCAAATCATTAATTATCTGATTCTTTGACTACTAAGTTATTGTGACCAGTAGGTACTGTCATCAAAGCTGTATCATCCAGGGTCAGGAATGAGGTAAGGGTCAGAAATATCTGTTTGAGCCAATCACTGGCTAAAACACATATACAAAAACAACAACAAAAATTCAAACCCAGTGCCTTTTGCTTTGATTGTCTCATTTAAGGTGCTACCTTAAGCCAGGTTACAATGTCCTCTTTACTAATCTGAACACTTCAAAATGTACTGATTCAACAGAAAAATGGGTCCTTGTGTAAATTTCCGAAAAGGCAATCACCAGGCAATGCTGGCAGCAACAAGATAGTCTGGACATTTCTGAGATAAAGCCAACAGTTCTCTAATTTTAGCTAGGGTTTTATCAATGCAGTGGCACTTCATGCAGATCAGAAACTTGACTAGACTTACATACGGTTGTGATTAATAATAAATGGGAAATTAATTAATTATTATTTAGTAAGTGTAGTTTCTCTGGCAGACCAAATCTTTCAAAAGCCAAGGACCATTTGAAGAAGTCAGAATAAAGTCATCAGAAACAGAAAAGCCAAGAACGACTGCCCGTGGGACTGGTCTGTTCCTGGAAATGCTGTGTGCCTGCTGCCTGCTACATCGCCTCTCCAGCTGAGTACTCTGTCCACATCCAGGAGCTCCTGCTACATGTGGCACTGTGTCAGGCATCACAGCCAGTTGGGTAAGCATCCCCCTCAGTAGGGAAACAGAGTCTCAAGGGACTGAATAACCTGTGTGAGTTTGGATTGGCCTGATTCACGTTGTCCTGGGGGAGTGCACCCAAGAGGATGAGGCATCTTCTGACAGTGGGGCCATGTGAGAGAGGTAGCAGGGGAGTCCTGGCCAATATGGCTTTGGAATTAGCCTGGACCAGCAGGGGACAATGGGCAGTTTTGGGGGATTACTACTGGGGTCTTTGGCTGTCTCACAGTTGCTCTGCTTTCTCCTTCATGTTGAGTTTTGTCTATGGAGTGTACTATCACTATCCCTTCCGGTGGCTGGGCCTCCCTTCTTAGGATCATCATTTCCAGTGGCTTCCTGGAGTGGCTGTGGATGGTTCCTAGAGCCACTCGCTTTTCTTTCTCTCCTGCCCTCTCTGTGCCTCTCAGAGTCCTGATATGGGCATTGGTGCAAACAGCACAGACTTTGAGCCAGAGCACCTTGAGTTTAAATCCCAGCTCTGGTCACTGATGGGGTTAGTGACTCCAGATCTCTGACTCCATATTCCTCATATGAGAACAGGGAATATCCTAGTATTGATAACAACACCACCCAGCTTGCTGCTCACGGCTGGAGAAATATAGGATCCTCAACAAGCTTTCAAAGCCTCCTTCCCAGAAATTCCTTGGAAGGCATGGAGATTCTGCCTGGCAGAAAGGGAGGTCCAGCTTGCTTGGTATGGTGGGTTAGGGGTGGTTGGGTGTGTTTAGAACATTTGTTGCTTGGGGGTGACTTGGAGCAGCTAACCTGATTTCAGGTAAACCTTGTGATTGCACTCCTGCCCAGAATGTCACTTTCAAAGCACTTATGGCTCTGCCTGGAACACATTTACCCTAAGGATGGGGCCATCATAGGATAGGACAAGGCAAGCTGGAGAGAGAAAACAGGGCAAACTGAGAAGCGCCTTTCCTTGGAGGTGATGGCTGCAGGAAGGGAAGGAGAGCTCACAACCCACTGTGTCCCTGGGGAATTGGCACCAACACAGCAAAAAAGACAGCCCAGCTGGGGGCTGCTGGACAGATGGGTGGCAATGGGCCATGCCCCTGGCATCTGAACTTGGAGGTTGTTTTTGGATTTGTGACTGCTGGGAGCCTCCAGACTCTGGGCCTATTTCCTCATTGGGAAGATGCAGACTGCTGCACTGGCTTTGCCTGCACCACAGAGTCTGCATGAGGACTGCACGGGCTCCTTCGAGTCTGGGGTCTGATGGAACTCAGTGATTCTCAAAGGCTGCATCAACATCAACTGGGCGTTGGTGGAAAATCATGTTTTTGCTGGGATATAGCTCAGTGGTAGAGCACTTGCATGGTAGGCCCTGGGTTCCATCTCTAGCACAACACACACACACACACACAAACTTCAAAACACAATCAGAAACTTGAATCCTGGGTTTTAACCAGCCCGCTAGACTTATCATTAGCTTGCTTGGGGTTATAGGCTCAAAGTGGCACAAGGAGAAATCCCTCCTCCTGCCTGACATTGCCCTGGTGGAAAACTGCAGGCCTGGGGTTGAGCTGAGGACAAACATCAGAGAACACTTGTGTGCAGACAGTGAAGGCTCAGAAATGAAGCTCAAGGATAAGAACATTAGCACTCATGTGGATTGTATTTGTGTTTTCCAAATATTTTTACATGCATTTTCTTATTTGAATAGCATTAAGTAGTATTCAAAGAACAGTCCATCACAGTTACAATTATTAGTAATGACTGTGAAGCTAGCCGCTGTACGCGTATCATCTGCACAGTCTCTGAGCTCATTGAAGGCAAAGGACATACCTTTTTTTGCTCCCATATCCTATCTCCAGCCCTTACTCTCCTCTGTGGGCCAGAGTTTGTGACCCGTGAGCCTGGTGTGCTCATGTACCCCACGTGCATGCACCCAGTCTTCCTCAAGAGAGTAGGTCCACCCCTCAGCCTCTCCACGCTCATACGCACCTGTAGGTGTCGGTGGCTGGCACTTTCCAGATCTGGACGCCCTTCAAGGGCCCTTCGCTCCCCACTATCACACTCAGGTTGGAGTTCTGGTAGGCATTGTTGCACTGGGTCTGAGTGGGGCCATGGGGCCCGCTCGCCCCACATGTGGTGAACAGCCAGTGAACTGCAACACAAAAGGAGAGGTAGTCACTCACTCAGCCTGGTCCTTTCCCCTCTATAGGCCTCCCTGCGTTGTCCAGTGCAGTACTGGCCACAGTGATTACTCTGTGCTACCATGACTGCATCTCACCTGCTCCCAAAGCATGGGTATCACATACAGGAACCTTTTAAGGTGGAGAAGATAGACAGAGTCAAACAATCAAACAGAGTCAAACAAATCAAACATAGTATCAGCCAAATGGCTCTACCATTGACCGAGGGGCCCAGGACAGGTGGGAGCAGGGAGCTTCATACTTCCTGGATGTAGCTTTGTCTATCAGACACACAGTAACAAGCCCTCAGCTGGGCTCATTACAATCAGCTTAGGTTTAGAAATCCAACTAGAGTAGCTTTTAGGTTGTCTATGCTGTATAGCGTATATAAAAATCAGAAAAACAGGTCAATTTTGTCAAATTTTGTCTCCTTTTCCCAGGCCTATGGCCATTTCATGCTGTATTCTGTCCTCTCCCAAAGCAGCTTGGGGCACAGGAACATTCAGCACAAAACTCCTCCATCACTGGGACATATACTTTCGTACTGTGTGTCTTTGAGCCAGCCCAGGCCTTGGGGAGTTGTCATATCTTTTATTGCCTAAAATTCTAATATTTTTTTTTTTTTTACAACTTATACTAACTTTAAAAAGTATATTCTTGATAAATTACCTTTACTTAAAAAAAATCTCATTATCAAGTTGCCAAAACTATTTCTCTTGAAAGACAGATTAAGTTAAATTCTACCCACAAAAATTAAAGGAAAATTAATTTCAGTGATGTAGCTTTGTTCACTAAAACATTAAAGGGAACATTTCTTCAAGACTCTGGACTAATTTAATGATGAAAATGCAAGAGGTTAATTTGGGTTGCCAATTATAAATAATCAGATTGAGAGTCTGTTGGGTAAGATTGATAATCTGAAAACTGGGCCATTTGTGGTGAGCTTTTGTAACACAGTCCTGGCCCTGAGGTCGGGAAAACAAAGTTCTAGTGGGGTTTACAGCTACTCAACACTGAGCACTTGCGCTTTGTTGTCGATTTTTAAAAGTGAAGTCATTGTTTTTTATTTGATTTCTGAAGGTCATTTCAAGGGATAGGAGGTAGTGAGTCCGTTTACTTTTAAAATGAATGATTGGTAGTTACCTTTCTGATCTATTTGTGTTGAGGAGGCAACCTGTTAATTCAAAGAACTAAATCTTCACAGAAGGTATTTTTGTAGAGCTTATTTGGCCAGTTGCCCAAACTGTAACTGTGAGTTGTGCTGGAAGGGTGAAGTGGAAACACCCCAAGTTTTAGAATCACCAAGAAACCCTGGATTTGGGAGCAGCCTCATCAGTGACAGCTTGTGAGACCTTGGTCTTTTCCCTGGTCTAAAAAGGGGGCGGGGTTCACATGCTAGGAGGCAATGGGGTATGCAGTGTCATGGTAAAGTCCAAAACTCCAAAAAATTTGAGTTCTTTCAATGGTTCCTGTCTGTGTCAGAGGCTAGCCTATCCCTAATAACACAAAATGTGGGCAGGGAGTTTCTGTGTCTATGGATCCCACGCCAGCAGTACCTAGGAACTCAAATTCAGTAAGTTTAGGGGTAAAGGTGGAGGTAAAGAGGGAAAGAAACCACTCCCCTCATTGTCTCTCAGCCTGAAGCCAGTTCTGCAGCCCCTGTTTGTGCCTGTAGCAAACATCCTGGATCTGGAAGAGTCTCATGAGTCTGAGGACAGAAGCATGGAGGTTCATGTAATTCAATCCTGGACATAAAAGGATACCTGCATATTATTTCCCATCAAGGGTTGCTAGGAGAGAGAGCTGAAGGCTTGGCACCTTGCCTCCGCATGTCACCTTCAGGCTACCTAACATTGTTCTGAAGGTCCTGAGACCTCCCCAGGGATGCTGGACTTCTACTTCTTGGCAAGATGGAACATCTGGTGAGTGGGAAGTGGGGCATGGGTTTTGAATTCAGATGGGCTGAGTTTTTTCATCCTTGATTTGCCTCCAACTAGCTGTAAGATCTGGGTAGGACTATGATACCTCCCTGAGCCTCAGTTTTCCAATCTGAAAAAGTGGAGACTGTCTTCTAGTACTTAGACTTTCTATACTACAGCCTAAGCAAAGTGCTTAGCACAACATTCAGCATTCCAGATATATAATGAATATAGGTTGGCAAGTATGTTACTTCTTGTTCAGTTTCTCAATGTGGGAAACAGATGTCCAACCTCAAGATTTATGCCCCCCTTCTCCATAAAGGAGGCACTCTAGGGCCATTTCTCAATAAAGAGACTGGTATTTTCCCAATTCAGTGGATGTATATTAGTCTCAGGTGGTTTCTATCTACAAAATTTTGTTTTTATTTTCAACAATTTCTGGTGGAAAGGTACAGAGAGGAAACTCTTTTGAAAGCAGGTTCCATGGGAACAGAGGCTTTGCCATCCCAGGTCAGACTCATGACTCATCCAGCCAGAATTCTGCAGCTCCCAGCAGCCTTTGAGGCACAGTGGTGCTCCCTGCTCTTGTAGATGGCTCTGACCCTCATAAATCTGCACACTTTGTTTGGAATCCATTTATGTTTCCCAGCAGCACCATCTCTTGGGGGTATGGAGTTTTTGAGTTTACTGCTCACTGTGGAAGGGCTACCCCGCTTCTCATGTGGGTGGGCTTGTCTTGTTCAAGCTTCATTCTTTTGGTTCTTTTTGTTAATTCTGTCTGGAGTCTCAGAGACCAGAGAAGGCCATAGCATGATGAGACCTTGGAGATCACCTAGTCAGTGGTTCCCAAACTACCTGAGGATTTTTAAAACACAGATATCAGGGCTCTGGGGATTCAGATCAGTAGATACGAGGTAGGAATGGAGGGAGTCAATCACTGTATATTACAAAACACCTTCCCTAGAGAATCTGATACTCAACCAGATTTGTATACTATCTCACTTTCTTCATTGTCCAAGTGAAGAAAGAACATTCAAGAGAGAGGAAGTGGCTTTTCTACACCAAACGGCATTAGAGAAGAAATCCAAATTAAGAATTATTCCTTCTCTGTCTAAGGGTCTTTTGGATGATGATCAAGCCCTTCCCAGTTTTCTACCTTGAAGACATCTGGTCTTTTCATAATCTCCATGTATAAGTCCTAGATCCCCTGTGTCCTTCTCAGAATCCTTTTTAATATTATAATCTGCTTTCTGAGATGGGCCCATTAGAACTTCGGTACCTGTGACTTTGTTTCAAGGGGACAATTTCTAGTTTGCTTTATGTCCAGTGTCCCTCGGAAGGTGCTTGCTTGGAACAGAATGATCATTTCGGACCTTGTCCAAGGGGTGAGGCATTGCCTTGAGCCTGATGGTATTAAATACTGTGGGCTTGGGAGTGCTGCAGAAGAGGCATCTGGAACAGGGGGCCCCAGAAACAGAAAGCATCTGGCAGGTATAGTATTTGAGGCTGGCAGGCATGAGATCTGTTCTAAGCTAAGGTGGGTTAGAACCATGAGAACACAGGCAGAGGCATGTTCATTTCCAACAGTGTCACCAGAATGGAAGACACCAGGAGCAACTTTGTAAATTAAACCAAGCAGGTCCAGAAACCTAGAGACAAGGGAATCAGTAACCGCTCCAGGCAGCAGAAGTCAAGGTTCGCCTTGTTTCCTGATTTTGTCTATCATTCTTTTTTTTTTTTTTTTTTGGTTTTTCTCTGGTACAAAATATAATGTATCAACTATTGTAACTGTCC